ATTTAAAATGTTTACACAGATCGAAAAATATAATTTATATTACGTCTAATATTTAAATTTGATTACATATTTTTATAAAATTAAATTTTACGAAAGCTATATTAATATGTTTTGATAGATAAGCGACAAACCCTATCATAGTCTCGAATCAATAATAATAAAATAACAAGATAAATACATTGAATAATTAATTTCAAGTTGATTCATTTTATTTTCAAATAATTCGGATTAAAAAGATTCAAATTAATTATATTGACGTTTTCAAGAAAAAGGTGCTATTTTGATTGAATCTTAATTGAAAAAGAATCCAGTAGACAATAACTCTCTCTCTCTCTCTTAAAGAACACATACACATTCAACGATTTTAGAATAAATCCATTTTGCGTGGCAACATGAAATGCTCTAGAATTTGCGACCGTAAAATAATTAGTCACCGCGTCTTCAACCCGACTGTACAATTGTTCGTCCTTGTCGTCGATCATACCTTGTTTAAGAAAGGCTGTTTAGTTAACCACTGGATAACCGCGGCCTTTCGCGCGGACACATCGCTCGCTGCATATTAATCTCAGCCGCGTACCAAATTAAGCAACCGCGTAAGCGATTGGCGAAAGACCGAGTTACACGTTCAAAATGTCTAAGCAGCAGGAACCTTGGACACCAATCAGTCACTGAGTGACTTTAACAAGCACTGCGGACCATCTGCTCGACAAAACCGCGACAAAGGATGCTGCGTCGTCTTTTCTGCTGTTTACGAGCCACATACGAATATATGAGATGCTTCAAATTCTTCGGCTAAAAGTTTGAGCGACACTTTCGTCCAACAAAAATCAGACTCAATTCTTGAATAATTAATCTCATTGAAAAAACATTTCTTTACATACGACAGCAATATCTTTTCTCAAATTCTTCAAATTTCAATATATGAGAAGTAAAGCCCTGTCGAAAGGTAAGAAGAGAAACAAGAATCTGGCATCAATTCAAATTAATTAAAGAACTTCATTTTCTTTCGATCTGCAACATTAGAAGCAACAGATTATAAACAGCCGGTTTTACAATCTAAACGTTAATCTCTATTTCTGTATAGACAAAATTATCGTCTTCACCATAACGTGAACCAAACGATTCGCAATTTTAAATAAACTTTACGTCCATCGCGTACATAATCGCTTAGTTGCAAAATGCACGAGCGCACGCATATACACATACACAAGAAACTCCTAACGACTTCTTCGAAACATCAACCTTGAAATAAAACAGCACAGTTCTCGAATGAGTTACTTATTTCACGGTAAATAAAGTATCGTTATTTTGTAAACAAAAACTTTCCAAGTAATAATAATAACAGAAGAGTCCTTAAAAAATTATCAAGTAGTCACGAGTAGTTATCTGTTTACTACACGTTCGTATTCTTTACTACGTTCTATTTTTATTTTTTGTACATATTTATTTATAATACAAGCTCGCGTACATTAATTTAAGACTAACATCTACTTGGTATATAACTAATTAATTTTTTTACATCCAATGAAATCGTACGCAAAAAGATGGATTTTTTTTCTTTTCGTCTATATAGTTATCAGTTAAATTATTATTCGTAGATTATAAATATAAATATAAAAACAAAAAATTGAATAAAACCGGAGAGATAAATTTTCTCTCTGAATCTTTCTTCGATAATTAAGTTCAAACACGTGTTGAGAGAAAGCGAATAAACTGAGCCAAAGAAGGATAAAGCTAAAGCTAAACTAGGTAGGGTACGAACCGCCGACAGGGGCATCGAACTTTTACTCTCAACAGAATTATGTATACTGTATATATACAGCGAGACGGTCTATGAATCGTTCGATTACCTCACCTCGTAGTCGCGCAGAAAACTGCTAATGTTGGGTGTCCCCAGACCTGTCAGAGAGATAGAGAGCTTTAATCTACGGGTTCTTTGATCAATTTAGAGTCGTTTGCACGACAAAAATACTGGTGAACCGATAGCTTTAGAGTTACAATTCAAAAACAATTTAAAATCGAACATTTTTCGGGAACTAAACTTAAGGAATAAAATCTATTCTTTAACTTCACATAAACTTTAGATTTACCTATATAAATGATAATTAATTATATATATATACAAAGGTATTTAATATTACAAAGATATTTAATGTCAAAATTGAAAGTGTCAAATAAATGTTCTCTCTCTTTCTCTCAATGTTCTTTTAAGGAAAATTTATTCCAGATTACTCTTCCAAATTATTATTGGATTTTAAGTTATTCTTCCAAATTGCTAAATTCTAAGTTACTTTACGAGATACCCTGTACATCTTGGCGCAAATCCTAATATCGTAGTCGTTAACTGATAAATACGACGAGTGTGTGCCAAGGTAATCACCTGACTATGTAATCAATATTGATCACAATTTCTGCGACCCTTCTGTCACCCTTCGACACGCGGAAAATCGATACTAGGCGCTTTATTTATATCCGACTCGTGCATAAAGCGACTAGCTTGGCACTGCAGTCAAGCGAAGATGAAAGACTTTTCCAACGACTGCTGTTACGGTAACAATCTCACGTATAGACTCAACGCAGATACGCACTCCCAGGTATAACGATTTCGTATATTTGTACTATTCGCGATATTTCGCCAGCCGACTGTAGAACGAGCTCGTTGTTCGCCGATCCCTACGTATATGTTGCTTCACATGCCCCGATGCTATTTATACAAGATATATGCAGCTTTTTATGTACGTACGCTCGGTACACGGAATCAACTCGCTTCTCGAGCTCTCTGTGGCGGAAATATGTGTTCTTCACAAATAACACCATGAGGAACTATTCCTCGAAGTTGATCAAGAAGATAAAATACAACATACACACTATACACTTTACCGTTTCAATAAGGAATTATTATCGCAAATAGCTGTTGTAGTCGATTAAATTATATTATTAGTAGGTTATCTATTCTTATGTAAAATTGAAATTATCAATGACGTAGAAATTTGTGTTTTCTAATCTTAAAAATTCAGTAAATCACAGAATTAGAAAAAAAATATATACGTAGTTCTCACTATAATATCTCGATAAAAGCGTAATTATTACGCCTTATATCTCTAAGAGATAATCTCATATCCCTTTGATTCGCTACCTTTCAGAAATGTCTTTCAGAGAGCAATGTAAAACGAAGAACTCAGTCTACCAAATTTAACGTTAGACGCAGAAACAGACAGTACGCATATCAACGTCGTTTATGATCCGATGAAAATTTAATATTGATTACTGGGAAAACTGCCAATTTTTGAGCTGTTCTGTACCTAAACTCGAGTTTCATTTCGTAGCTTGATTAGATAAACCTCTGCATAATCAAAGACGTCTCGCCAATTACTTGAGTTGGCTCATGCGAGATCAAGTAAGATTCGTAGACAAGCGTAAAGATTAACACCACCGCAGCTGAATGCGAAAATAAAATAGATAGCAGAATCGATGTATTGTACATTGTATAAATTAAAACTCGTGTTTGCACGGAATTCAACGACAGGTCTTCACACAGCGTAACAGACTCGAATTTACACAGTAAACAAGTTTTATGATTCATAAACCTGAAACCGCGACGTCGCAATTTCTTCAAACTGAATTTTCATTCGAGCTCGATATATCGTTTTGTTTAAAAAATAAAAAGAAAGACAAAGAAATTGTTATTTATTATGCAATTTATAATGAAGGTCAAAGTGCCTGAAGCCAGCACGGAGTTAAAACCGCGCCGGTTTGAAATCGGATTCCCGTCACACGATCGCCATGAATTTTCTCTAGCGCAAGGCACAAGAGATACATAAACCCGATTCGTCTCTCGTACTCTATTCTTACGTTCATAAGGTTATTTACACTCGGTGTCTGACACCATTTCGGTGGCTCGAGCCGCGGCACCCTGAGCCAAGCTCGACTATTCGTCCGCGTTCAAAGTGCGTCTAGCGAGGCCCTCAAGTATCCGTCGAAAAGCGCGCTCCGCGTCTCACGAGAAGCACGAGAGGAAATCCGAGCGAAATAGAGTAGCCAATTGTTTGAAGTTCGAGAGCGTACGAGGCCCGAGATGAGTTCCCGCATTGTGAGCCGCGATTCCTGTGCATCATCTCGGATTTCCATCATTTAATTGTTTTGAAAGTTTTATTTCAGTCGCTTATACCTAAAATTTTATTTAAAATATATCAATTTTTTGGAAGATTATATAAATATTAATCTATTATCATTTTTATTAATGAGTAAATTTTGTACGATTAAATATACGTACATTTATGCAAAAATTTGTAAAGGAATTCATAACATAAGCACTTGTAGCTTAAAAAAATCTTGAAACGTCTACATCCATAACAAAAAAAAAACATTGCATTTTGATCATAGATACGAGAACATTCGCAGACGTCTCAGAGCTGTCAACGTCAAAAGACAAGCAATAAAAATAGATCTGAGTTGCTCTAAAGTTTCGTCTTATAGTAAAATATCGTATAGTAAAACATCTCTTCCTTAATTTCATGATTTACTGAATTTTTTCTACGCCAAATATATAAAAATTTCCATATCATTGATTCTACTTCAATTTCTATCTCAAATGATTTCAACTTTCAAATAGCGACACAATTTAAGTCAATTGCTGAAACCATTTACAACAATCTCTTTATCTACTTAAATGGGCTATTATACGTTACATCCGATCCTAGAAACAAACCCGTTTGAGAACGAATATACGTGTACAAAGTTAATATAGAACCGGCACAAATGCATTAAATTATCAAATGATATAAAAATAAAAATATTAGATCAGCATAACATTATAAGAATATAAACCAATATAAACTTATCATTATAACAACAATCGTTTTTAAATCGTCCTGCCATAAATATATATATTTTAACCGGCGTATTAGCTCAGATATTAATTCAAAACATTATATTTTTACTCGCTATATAATACTCGTTAGATAAATATCTTCAAGAAATATTTTATTACAGATATACGCCCCCCTTACATACTCGCTATGACTTATAGTCGCGTCAACGGGTTGCAAGCTTACCCAATTCTGGAAAGCACAGAAAAGTGCGCGCTGGCATTTGTTCGATATCGCGCGACAGCGCGACGATAAGGCACGATAAGCACTCGTAGATTACGTGAACCGCACGACGCGACAGGCCGAAAGAAACTGGACGGTGGTCTCAACCCCACCACGAGCCGGCACTCGGTCGACAAATGTAAACATTCGCGACAGCTGATCGCCGAAGTACACGCTCCGATTCTAGCCCCGATAGTGGCGGTAGCGACCTGCTGTTATACGAGTACATAGACAGGTACTGTCTGGGGGATACTATTTCGACTCGACGCTCTCACTGTGCCAAGTAAATACTTGCAATGAATACGTTTTGTTGTGTTACCTAGAAACATTCGAGAAAGATTTAACGAGATATATTTGAGTTTCATGGACTTCTTACATCATGTGCTATCTGTGTACAAAAATCTATTAAAATAATACAAATCGTGTGCAATGTAAAAAATATTTTGATTGTCCAGACAACACAAAACTCTAAAATATCTATTTAAAAAAAATAATTTTTGCGTCTTTCCGATATCTTTTAGACTTTTGTGTTACCTAGACAAATATTGTTTTTCACTATAAGCTAAATTAACACTACATGTAGTAAAAATCAGAAATCTAATAATACATACTATGGAAAAAAACGCATAAATGAAAGCAAACACTTTTTTAGTCAAATTTCTATACAAAAAAATTTAGTTTAAAATTTGAAATCATATATTATAATTATTAAAACGTTACGTCGCTTTACTTTGGTTCTGTGTAGTGATCGATTCGTCAATGACAAATCGCGAGAGTTCGACTCTTATTCCGGATTTTATAAAGTATAAAAGATTGATTAAAAAACTAAAAGCTCCGAATAAAAAAGCTTTCAATAAAAATTAAAAAGTTTAAGTAAAAGAATACTCTTAAGTAAAAGATTGTGTAATATAAAACTATAATCTGTTTCGGAATCGATAAATTAGTACAATCATACATATATGAGCCGTTTATTTTGAAAGTGACCTAAATCACTTTAAAAAAAAAAAATGTTGTTTATGACAGCTAACTTCAAGTTGTACACGCTACTACAAAGGTCAACAACAAAACATTGAAAAATGGACTTAGGCCACTTTCAAAATAAACGGCTCATATATTATCATGTGACTTTACCATAACTCTTGACTTCGTACGCGCAAATAGGAACTTTTAATTATAATAAACTATAGTTTGTACCCTTTTTAACTAATATCGTCTAAATTGGAATGCGAACATAACAGTTACAAGATTATTTCATTGTATCTCGCAACAATTATATTAAACATATTAAACCTATATTTAAGAATGCCTGATAATATGTACTTTCCAGCAACTTACACGATACTGTACAACACAGTGCACGATTCTATGTTTTTCAACTGTGACACAAATCAACACAATCATACATAGCTAAAGTGTTGTGTTCAATTGTGTCGTCATTTTATATCATTTCACGAAACCAAATTTTTACATTTTTTTTTTCTAGGAATACCTCAATAAGAGGTTTCAAAATTACATTCGGATATATTCGTACATAAAATATGTGAGACCTTTTATTTCACTCTGGCAAGGAAATAAAAAAGTTAATCGTTTCAACTATAAATCGATACTAGATACCTTCCAGTAAAGGAATGACATGGCTGTTTTCCAGCTAGGACACAGAACATTACACTGCAAAATACTTGTTGGAATGCAGTTAAGTTTCACAATGTAACACCAAAATGCATTGTAGTCTTCCATTCTTATTCTTATGATTATATTTAGCATATCAATAATAGATTTACGATTTTCATTTAGACTTACGGGAGTATTCTAGTCTCACGGGTAAAAAAAATCGATTCCTTTTAATATATTTTGCAAGTATTTGGTATAGAAAATATGTCTGTAAAAGGAATTAGCTCGATTCGCAAAATTAACAGTTATAGCACCTGATAGGGAGCGATCTCCAGCTCGTTTTCGCAAAAAAAAAAACTGCGAAGTTCGAAAGATATCAATTTTCCTATTTCAAAAGAATTTGGTGATGAGAAGAAGCTGGAAATGTTGTAACGCGTTTAATGGTTTCCGGCGACAGAACATGGAAAAAAGGATTATAGCCGATTGATCGTAAGTAAAATTATCTCTATATAATCAGTAAACGCGTTTTTCTCGAAACCATGTTTTTCGAATCGACTCTTATATCTCGAAAACCAGTTAACTAATCGAGTCGGGCATGTGCACATATCTTCAACACATGTGGCTATAGCCCGTACTACAATCAAGTCGAAAACGATATTACACTGTCATCTGTGTACATTGTTGAAAAACATCCTGTGTCGCACAGTATACGACTGTGCTTCAGTATATGACAGTGTTCCACATTGTTAAAAAACATGAAATTTGATATTGTGAAACAGTTGTAAAAAAATTCGTAAACTTCTAGGTAATATAAATACAATATCATTCATATGATACATAATTTACTTGACTAATCAATTTTTATGTTAAATGGCAACTCTATTTCCGGACAAGACTCGTGTATACAAGTAAAAATGATTCAATTTATTATCACACATTATTTTAATAGGTAGAGATTTCACAATGGTACCAATGCCATCAGAAAATTAGGATGTTTTCCAGCAATGGAACACTGTCATATACAATTTTATTTCATCGCTAAAGTGAAATAAAAAGACTGGAATTCGAACACGCTTTCGAACAGGAGACATAAGGTGCGTTCGGAGAAACGCTATTAGTGCTATTCATGTCGTTCCATCCAGGGATGGAGTCTTTTGACTTTAATGGGTGTGGAATACCTCATCCAAATGGCGAAGGGATTTAAAAATAACAAATATTTTATCTCTTTTGTTGTACGTGTAAAATATATTTCTACATATACACCCTAGTCAAATACTGTTTTTTGTCACATCACTCAAAATTTTTTTAATTTGTAAAAATTAACATACTTTTTTCTAAACCGAATTCTGGAATTCAACATCCATTTCAGAAGTTCTGGATGTGGAAAACTACCCTCCATAAGGAAGTTTCCTTCTATGATTCTATCTGATTGTTATCTAATAAACGACGAAAAAAGAAGACAAAAATAGCGCTAATAGCATCTCCCCCGAATGCACCAAACTAATTTAAAGTTTAGTAATTTTACTCTGATTGGTCAACTTTCAATCCAATATCAATCCGTACTACATCAACACATGCTTCACGGATCGTATCAGAAATTCAATATTCCTGTTCAAATGTCGATACACACCAACATCGAAAAACAAAATGTCGGGAAAAAAATATCGGTATTTAAAATAACGGCGTTGTATCGCCCATCCGTATCATACACTGTGTTACGATGTCGCTTATACACGTTTCTGGAAAGCACTCTTATTTAAAACTGATTTTTAAAATAAAAAATTGTTATTTCAGTTTACTATTGTTATTCAAATAAAATATTTTAAATTCAACTTTAGCTAATATTTGGCATTTGACTTAAACCATGTCTGAATTTGCATCACTTATTTGCCTTATTATCTTATAATCACATTAGCAGAATAACATTAAAATACTTCATTTATACTCTCCCTAGAAATTCTATACCCATGGTCCAAATTATCGGCGTATCTGTATCCACAGTCACTTTGGAATCTTCATAAGTATTTGATGTACTTATCAAACCGCCGAATTGCATAGTTGTTTTATCTGAAATATAAGAAAAGAAAATAGAATCAAAATTCAGAAAAATTATTCAAATAACAGATTAAATATTTAAGTAACGCAGTGAAATGGTTTACTTCAAGATAGAATAAATGAGATATAAAACATACTTAAATTCCATTTCAAACCAGTCGTTGATATACAATTGACGGTACAACCAAATGGTAGTAAACCACACCAAGATTTCTGTTCAATCAAAATTTCTGGTATATGTATACTATGCATACCAGGTTTTAATATCCATGTCATAGAATTGCTTGCGAGTTGTATCACCTGTAAAAATCTCAATCAAAATACCTAATATGGAGACATAATCGCAAGTTTGTCTGTCAAATAAAAACTTTACCCGTATATTTCCCACAAGCTTGTCACTACTGTATAGAGTATTGACGTTGGCGATGATATGATCGAACCTGCCTGATGTTTCCGCAAGTACGTATATTTCACCTAACTGCCAAAAAATATCATTCATATATTTCATTATACAACCATCAATTTAAAAAAGCAACAATAAGAATCTAAAAGATTACAATTATGTTGTGCGTCTTAGCATAGTGTACGACTTCCAGCAAAGCTTTGGTATAATCTGTATTATTCTGATCAGGTGTCTTGATGACAGTGGATCCTATACTTTCAAACTTCTCAATGATATAAGGTGGACAGCTATCCATATCCCCTGTGATGAGATTCGGTGCATAATGCTTGTGCTCAGTGTTCAATATGTTTATTCTCTGTTCTTCCAGATACTTCAGCCACCTCTGTGTTCCACCATCCACAGTGACGGTGATTCGAGCTGCTTGTACAAAGAGATACATAAATCAACATAAATTGCTTTACTTGCTTGCAGTATCTCATTATCACTTTTCATTTGGTGACACAAATTGACATAAATATTATTCTATCTTTCTTGGCATTCAGTGAATAAACACAAAGATGGCTATAACTGAGTTGTGGAACGTAAGTCATAGTTGTAAGTTGATCTAAGCCTATTCTACAATAAAATCGCAAACCGTAAACTGTAAGAAATTAATCAATCATAGTGGATCATTTGTTTCATATTCAACTGATTGGCTAATTTCTTACAGCTTACGACTTGCAACCTTATTGTAAAACAGGTACAAAACATTGTACATTGATCTACGACTAACGTTTACAACTCAATTTCGATCACCTTTGTGCTGAGGCTCTAACAAAGACAGAAGCGTAAGATATGCATATTTTCAGTCAGTGTACAACCTTTTTGCCAGAATTGAAGTAGTACGTTGTGCTGCCAGTGTATGGGACGATTCAACACGATTACCGCATATTCGCAACATACACCACCCTGGAACACGTCTAGTGGATTCCATGTTGTGCTACCACCAGACGTTAGCTCCTGCTGCATCGTACGATCCGACGTAACGTGTCCCATCACTGAAAAGCGTCGACTGCGTCGAGCAACAAAAAGGTCAAGGTTAAAACATAGGCAATTTCGCAATATGAGTTTACGTAACATGACACCGGTAGGTGATTTTCTCATGCCTTGAAATCTTTTCCGCAACAAGAATCAGAAAAAACGACGCAACGAGGAAAGGGAAAGTCTATCCGCTGTATTCAACACTTCAAGTTGCTTCAAGTTACTTAACATTCGTCGCGTTCGTCCTCACACTTCGCACGACTTCGCAGATTTTCTTTCACGCGATCGTCACTTGTCTGCCGAGTGCCGTGTGATTCGTTAATGAACTCACGCTGTTTCATTTGAATATTCGAAACATATGCTCGCGAAGTGCCTCGTGCACCGGTACACTGAAGAGAACTGTTTCATTACTATATTATTCTCTACATGGAGCATCATTTGCTTATCTTGTTACTTATCGCTGTCGGGGTCAGAGATGGAAAATATTTCGTAATTGCGCGCCAATAATCTCCGAGGTCTCATAATGCCTGATTTCGCTTTTAAATTAATCATCGCGAAACGCGATTGTCTCGAAAATTGCACCGAGATCCCGTCTGATATTTTTATAAACGTCATGTTCGTTCCCACGAAGTCGCACCGTGCTGAAGCGAGATGAGGGTATATACACAGACCTCTGTTAACCCTCAGAAGTAATATATATAAATGGAAAGGAAATAGAGCGCTGAGCTTGATGCAAACATCTGTGCGAGAAAGAAAGGTAGTAACGGATAAAGGCCCGTCTACAATACACGGAGTAAGGGTGATGTCTCATGCAGCGGATCGTGCGTAGCGGATTCGCGTATCGCCAATCACAGAATCATTCTCTTAGATCTGTTTGCAAATTTCGCAAAAAAGAAATTGACCAATATCAGTATAAACGCACCCTAACTACAAATGCTTCGCTGTCCAATCAGAAGAAAGAATTTTACGAATTAACCAATAAAAAAAAATGCTTTAAAGCATTTGCAGCACGAAGTGAATCGCACCCTAATCACATCTGTCACTTTAGGTCTGTCGCGTTGCTTGTACTTTTTGCACTCGATATTTTCGCTTTCTCTCTTTTCAAAGTCAAATATATATCTATTTCATTTTAAGTGCAAAAATATTTGAAGATTTCATGTAACGCGAACAGATCTATTGAATACAAAACGTGCATAAAAACGCAAATCAAAATAAATAGACCTCATATCATACCTCCGTAGTTACGACGCAATTTCGTAAGTCTATACACAATTTTACATAATTGTTCACGCAATCGATTTACAATGCCATTTTAATCAGCAATTTGCTCCAATTATCAAACTGTTAAGCAATACTCCATTTTTGCGAAGACTTCTTTCTGATTTATCTCTTGCAGATAACGGCCGATGGGCTCGAAAATTTGGATATGGAAAAACATACCGGGTATTCCAGGTCGATGCAACGACGTAATTTATACACGGCCGAAATTGCAGTCAACGCACGATCTTCTTATATTTTTTGGCGGCGACGTCCAAGTATGTACGTTCAGAGACACTTGTCAGTTTTCGTTTTTAAAAAATTATGTAATAATTCCTATTCTTTCAAATGTAATGTAAAATATTTATTGTATTGCACTAAGGATAATTATGTAAAATATACAAGATATTATATTTTAGAACTATTGACTATATATATCTTTTATATACCATTAGTGGTTTTTGTTGGCATTATATTCATATTGATTTTATAATAACTTTTATGATATATTTATATTAACAAAATTATTACAAATTATTACAGGATATTCAAACAAATATGGAAAAGCATTCGGATAGCAAGAAATATGCAAAATGGAGCTTAGAGAACACAGCGACTATACTATCTGAACAGTTTCCTGGAAGTCATGTATTTGTTGTTCGTCCATCAAGGTAAGATATTATTATCATATGCTATGCACAGAAATATTACAATATTTCTATTCTGAATGATATATAAACTTCTTGTAGGTGCTCCATAAAAATTATATATAGAGATTAGAAAAATACTAATGCCCAATTTCTTCACCTCTAGATAACTTTATCCAAGAGATATCTCCCAGGATATCCGCAACTCATCTGTGGAAGTGAAGAAATTGAGCATAAGTGATTCTCTTGACTGCCATGTTTAGATCGAATTACTTAGTACGTAAGAATTTGATACTTGTTTCAGGATGACAATAACTAAACACGCAGTATTCAGTTGTTTCGATAATTTCGTATCAGGAGATACATATGGCACACCCACATTTTGTCCAATGTACAATGCTTTAAGGCATTTAAAAGATCTCATTACTTGTTGCTTAGAACATGTTAAAACATTAAAAATTGGAGAAGTATGTATTGGACATAAACAAATTATAATAATTCATGAAAAATTGTATAAATCATTATCACATTAATAATTTCCTCCAACTTTAATGTATGTACAACTATAATTATAACTTGTACCTTGACAATGTTCTTAAAAGATATAATACATTGCATGCATCGAGTATAACATTGATTTACCAAATATATATTTTAATATTTTTAAAGGATACTGTTATCTATAATATCGAAGCTACAAACTTAAGTCTAATGGGCTTCAGTAAGGGATGTGCAGTTTTGAATCAGTTTCTTTATGAATTTCATCATTACGATAATGACTCGAATAACGATCCCAATATAAATAATTTTATCAAACTTATCAAAGATATGTGGTGGTTAGATGGCGGACACAATGGTCCCAAAAATACATGGATTACAAATGAGGATATACTTCGTTCCTTTGCTAAATTAAGTGAGATAATTTGAAAATATCTCGAAGTAGTGAAAATTTTCAATATATTATGTTTATATAATGTGATTAAATATCTTCTTCAGGAATAAATACTCACATACATGTAACGCCATATCAAATGCAAGACAAACACCGACCATGGATTCAGATGGAAGAAAAGAGTTTCAACGATACCTTACAAAGGATGGGAGTATCTGTACAACAAACTTTACATTTTGGTGATAAACCGCGAAGCCTCTTATCGCATTTCAATGTTCTTACAAATATCAGAAGTAACGTGCAGTAAAACTATCGTATTTTTCTTTAAATTTACGGTATAATCGAGCACTTATGCTCGAAGTTGTTATGAATCATAAAATAGATCGCAATTCCTTTACATCATCAGGATCAAAGTAAAGTATAAAGTCATGTAAAAATTATGATCTTGTTGATAATATTATAATTGATATTTCTGTATTGCGAACTATTTCATAATTTATACAAAAAGTTTAACAGAATCTATTTTCGCAATGTACATATTGATTATTATTTATATTTTAATAATACACTCTTAATCTCTAGTCCTATAAATAATAGAAATTTGTTAAATATTATAAACTGTATATTTACATACAATATTATTTACGTTGTACAATTTTTTATTAAATATATTGTTTTGTTGCTTATGTGATATGTATAATATCTTTGAACAATTACTAATTAAAACTAATAAAAACTATAAATGTGTTTATTTTATTTAACAATCTGAGAAAATATGGTAAAGCTGTTATTGTTTCTTCTTTTTATACAAATCTCATTTCGTATTTTCTTTTTTAATTATTAGTAATATAATAATATATCTAAAGTAATATAATATATCTATCTTTGTAAGTATGAAGCAGAAAATGTAAAAAAATTACATATATACGACGAAAAATATATATGTAGTAAAATAATATATAAACTCTAGATAGTACATAATATTACAACAGAGTAATATCTGTGTAAAGAAAGACTATCTCTGTGTACATAATTACAGTTCTTGTTACATTAATCTTTGAGATATCTATTCTTCATAAATAAATATAATGCTCTATGAGTTTGGAAAAAAAAACTTGTATTATTTATATTTATTTACTCAAATATACTTTTTTAAATCTAATATTTCTTTCTCTTCATAACTATCTTTAAATATATTAACAGATTGTTCCTTTCAATTTAATTTAAATGAAAGAAAAATAAGAAATTATATTTTCTTCTTAATTATAATATATTAAAACTAAAAAATAATGATTTAATGATAATAATTTTTTAACTAATTAAATTTAAAAATAACTTTAAAGGATCTCATATATTATTTTTTTACAGAATTGAGCGATTATTTTCATTATATAATCTTGTTTTATGTATGATTAAACAAATATACTTTCATAAAAATCAAAAATGAAAAAATATTCTAAGCATTTATCTATCGTGTATATTTGGTTGTTGTCATTCTTATTACGATGCATAAATTAAGAAGCACTTCATTTCCTTTCCGATCTGAATTATACCTTTACTTTCTTCACTAACATTTGTTTGGACATTTAGGTCCATAAAAAGTTACTTTTAATTCTGTAATAAATACAAGTAATAAGTAAGTCTAAATTATAGCAAATACAATAGATATTATAATTATTTCATATACGTTCACACATAAATAGATTGAAAAAAAATATAAATCAATTGAACTTACTACTGAGTTTATACAACACTGCAGCTTCAGCCCATTCATCAGAACCATCACAACAATCACAATGTCCATCATTGACTTTGTACGATGGTATTCTTACTGAAAATTTATACAAATTTCATAAATTACTTCCGTCGTGTAGCTTATAACATTGCAAATTTTATATATTGCAAAGATTTGACTGCAATACCTGCTGACTTTCTTGAACTCTTCTCGCAATAAAAGAAACCATTGTTACAGGCGTTAGTACCTGGTTCATCACTACCGTCCATTGGACAGTCACAATAATCATCGTTGATCTTTACAAAATCAATCTCCCTCTTCGAAACAAAACATACAAATTTCCCGTTGCTGTTGGGAAGATACTTGGCTATATCCTGGTCCCGTGTGCCACGCAACGACACCGTTCGACCGTTTGTGTCGCGAATGAGTTTTGAATGATACGGTTGATTCCACTTGTCAACCCGCTTGCCGACGACCACACGGTGGGTGTCCTTCACCGAGCCGGCAATCAACTTGCCTACAGTATCTTGGTTCAACTCTTTGAAGTAGAACAGCTGATGGATCACGAATATCACGGCGACCACGAGGACGCACACCAGCATGTATTTGATCTTCTTTCGCAGAAGACGTCGCTTCCAGGATACCTCAGTCTTCATGTTTGCCAGCTAACCGTTACCGTCGAACACTATCGCAGAGCAAATCTCTTCTGGAGGTGATGTTTCGTATATCAACACCGCGCCGGGCCGTCATAGCGCAAACATCTGCGGAGCGTATCGCGGATAATTGCAATTATCGGGTACCTATGCCTCTTTCAATTCGAACGTGCGACGCGGTTAGCAGGTCTATTTACACGCACATTAATATACAGGGTGTCCCGTAAGTCCACAGAATACACATTTCAGGCCGGGACAGACACGTGGAGAGAATGATATCGATAACCTCTCATTTTAAGCATGCGGCATTTATAGATTTTTCTCTCTATGTCCAGCAGATTTTTTTACAAGTCGTATTCCACGACGATAAACGTAGGATTCGGTAGATCGCCAGTAAAAATGACAAATCGGAAGACTCCGTTGATCTTTGAAGTGCTTGCAGAATGCAAAACCACAAAAGCCAGAACTGGCAGGATGACACTTGTTCATCATCATGTGGATACACCGGTGTTCATGCCGGTGGGAACTCAGGTTTATAAAACTTCTTTCCTTCTTGTTTAAGCTGCACACGAAGACACATGTATGAGAGACATATTAGAAAACATTAGGTTTTTAATTCAAAATCCACATGAAAGGATGATAACTCTGATAATTCCTTAATTTTCAGTACTAAATGTTTTGATAACATCTGAAACTAAATTGTCTTTAAAGTCTATGATTCTTACAATTAGTAAATTGTATTAATAGGATCTCACTTGTGTGTGTATATTCGTAACTTAATTTGTAAACAAGCTTCCACCTTTTTTGTCTATCAATGCTTTATTATGATTAATTTGCTTCGATATTTTCTTTGGAATTAAAATAAACATATAACTTGAAAATCTAGATTTTTTAAATATATGACTCAATTATAAAGCCTTGGGTTCACGATGCTAGAAATTATTCTCTAAGGTTTTGGATGGAACAAGAATTAACAAATCACATTTGAACAATTGGATCTGATCAATGCGATTGTTGAATTCTTTCTTCTCTTGAATCTTGGACTGGTTTTTAACATCTTGGACACAACGACTTAAAGTTACATTAAATTTGTTATTACATCATTTTCAGGGAACATTAAAAGGATTGTTGCCCCAACAACTAGAACAATTGGATTGCCAAATAATTCTTGGTAATACCTATCATCTTGGAAACAGACCTGTAAGAGATCATGCATTATATCATTAGAAAAAAAATATTGGTTGATTTATATAAAACAGTGTCATTGTGATAGTTTTAGATTTATTAGTAAATTTTTAAAAATGTAATTTCGATTGTATTAAAATATATACTTTATATTGGTAGGGTGCAGATATTCTACGTAAAGCTGGAGGTTTGCACAAGTTTATGAACTGGAAAAGGGCTTTATTAACGGACTCAGGTGGTTTCCAAATGGTTTCGTTATTACAATTAGCTGAAATAACAGAAGAAGGTGTAAAATTTAAATCACCGTACAACGGTACTATGATATATACATATATAGCTAAAGATATATTTTTAAATACATTCAAACATAACTTATACATAATTTAATCGGCCTATAATAATATTTACAATAACGTTTCATGTAGAATCTGAATGTATGTTGACACCCGAACATTCTATTCAAATTCAAAATGCAATTGGAGCTGACATAATCATGCAGCTCGATGATGTTGTTAGCAGTACTTTAACCGGACCAAGAGTAGAAGAAGCAACGCATAGGTACAATTATTTTTGTAAACACATTTTCTAAATAATATATTGTCTAAATAGCCTGGCTTAAACGAGTGTTATTTAACACAAACCATTTCAGAACGATACGTTGGCTGGACCGTTGTTTGTTAGCACATGAAAGACCAGATGAGCAGAGTATATTTCCAATTGTACAAGGTGGTCTTAATCCCGAACTACGATCCGAATGTGCACATCAATTAATTAAGCGGGAGGTGAATGGATATGCTGTAGGAGGTTTGAGGTAGATACTGAATTATTTGTTGATACATATAGTTGATAAATAAAGATTTTTGTATAATACAGAATTTTGTATAATACATATCTAAATCTTACATAATACAATAATAATGGTTCTTATAATGATTTCAGTGGCGGTGAGAGTAAAGATAATTTTTGGAGAATGGTCCACTTATCAACGAATATCCTTCCAAAGAATAAACTGCGATATCTCATGGGTGTTGGATTCGCAATAGATTTAATTGTATGCAGTGCGTTAGGTATCGATATGTACGATTGTGTATTTCCAACAAGAACTGCTGTAAGTATTTCATAAAATACATACTTAATTGCGTAGAAGATGGAAATTTCAAAACATTAAACTAAAACTTTCAGAGATTTGGTTGTGCGTTGATAAAAACGGGACAGCTCAATTTGAAGCAGATACGATATAAAAAAGACTCGAGACCAATAGATGAATCGTGCGAGTGTAGTACTTGTAAGACTTATTCTCGCGCTTATCTACATCAAATCGCCACTGTGGAGACAGTATCGTGTCATCTATTAACCGTTCACAATATTGCATTTCAAATGAAGCTCATGCGTGATATCAGAGACAGTATTAAAGAACAAAGATTCCCTAGATTCATACAGGACTATATGTTGATAGTTTATCCAAATAAAGACTATCCAACATGGATAATTAATGCTTTACAGGCTGTCAATGTTACCTTATTATAAAACAAGATACCATTGATTTGTACTGCTACATATTTCTCTAGACAATACATTTTTTTTATTTCTGTCTACACAAAGGTTTTTATAACTTATTTTTTTCATTATATTAAAATCATAGCAATATATCTAAGTACTTGCGAGCTATTAATGTACGTAAGTATGTAAGAACTGTTAATAATATTATTTGTCAGCATAACGTGACGATTATGGTTACAGTATGTTCTAAAAATTTTTGAATGGCAAAACAATCTTCTATTATACAGACAAACATAGTGTACACTGATTTTACAATTACATATTTCTATAATTTTGCAAATATAAATCAATATTTGCAAAATATAAATCAAATAAATAATCGTACTTGAAAGAGATATTTTACACTTTTTATTCTGGAATTTTCTCCTTTTACTGGAAATGATAAGAGAGTGAGGCACAGCAAAGATAAGTGTTAACTTTATCACATGAAATCATCTGAGTCATATCCACTCGTTTCTGTGTTTGAAGTCATGTTAGATGTATTAAACAGGGAATTGTAACTCCTAAAAAGTAATTTTTTATTAATAACTTTTCATAAAGAATTACTTAATCGATATTATTTATTTAATGAAAATATATCTGGTATATATTTCTATTAAATAAGTATTATTATAAAATTATGATTTACCTCATCTCTGCTTCTTCCTGGCGTCGCTTTTCTTCTGCCTTTTCTTTCTCTTTCTGTTCTCTCAAAAGCTTCTTCTTGTCTTCCCGTTCGTTCTTATCTCTTTGTTCTCTCTCATTCCTAAAGTTTACTTGCTCTGAACGTTTCGTCTTATTAAGACGATTCACGATAGTATTTACTCGCTTAGCAACATGAATTTTACGAACGTCTTTATCCTTGTGAAAGCCAACTTGTCCAACTTCCATACCTTGTGTCTTTTTCAAATTTGACCACATTGTGTATACAACATCGACATCATTCATTTTATTCCCTTCGATACTATTTGCTTTTACTAATTGTGCGGCATCTTCTAATACAGTACTAGGAATATCGTCTATTGTCTGACCCTGCAATTTCAAAAAGAATACTGTATCATTCTTTAATATCAAAAGCAGGAAATTACCAATTATAATAATTAAGCTCACATGTCGAAGTCGAAGATACACGTGGGCAGACGAATATTTGTCAACATGAAACCACACATCCTCAGGCCAACCCCATTTAATAAGATCTTCATCTACACAAGCAGAATCCAATAAATCACATTTTAAAATATGCACAAGTTTTTATTAATTACGATGAATAATTACAAATGATTTTTCCACTTACTCTCGAATTTGTCTATTCCCATAAACAAAGTGATGGATGGTTGCACAACTGCAATTCAAGATTATGACAATTAGTCAAGTTTCTTAATGATAACAAAATATTATTATTAATAATTTAAAAGAATATGTTATTAACCCCTTAAAAAAAAATCAAGATCTTAGAAATGCAAAAATTACCTTCGCTAGTAAAATAATAAACCATTATTAACAATTATTAACGAGAATTTCGAGTAAAACACGTGCAACAGAATCAGCTGTCAAAAATATTTTTGTAGCACTGACTAGTGCCACTGGTGGTCTGATGCTGATGATGGCGCTGTCGAATATATCATATATTGGGTTAGAAAAAGTCTTTTTACGTATAGCCGACAGATGGCGATCTGGTCAATTTTTACGTGCCACTATTGGGCGCATTCAGCGGATTTAAGGGGCTCCGCACAATAAAAGGAAGAGCTCTGTGTCAAAGCGCTGATTGGTGAAAAGCAGTTGTGGGGGTAAAATTTACTTCCATTACCCGTTTTTCACCAATCAGCGTTCGGTGTCAAAGCGCTGTTGCCTGTATGAGGATCCGAGCTTGGACTAATCGGAGTATAGCGTTTAGGTTTAGAGTGTATACATTTGGTATAATAAAAGGATTGTAAACAATTTAAAAAATGTTTCAATTATGCTCCAACTTGTAAAAGAACTTTTTCCCTAACCTAATAGACAATTTAAAACGATCTTAAAGTCATCTGTTTTTTAACAAGCAATTAAAGTGAGTCTTTGCTCCTCGAAGAAGTTCTGGCTTGATCTAGGGATCAATATAACATTCTGCACTTTGACCTTCATTAAAGAGATCGGAAAGTCATCCAGGAGAAGAATCTGTTTTACCGACTAAACGCAATAATTTTTGTATAACAATTTTTTCTTTTACAGATATAAATTTTTTTTTCAAAATTAAAGTATACGCGTTAATGTGTCTATGAAGTAAAGTTTATATCGAGAATGGAAAAAATTTTTAAATTAAGGATGTGGACGTATTATCTGCTTACTGGAAATATTTGTGCATCTGGCTATGTAGTTAAAGATGAAGGAAGAGATACCAATAAAAACAATGATCAATAAGAGCGCTATAATTTTCGCCTCAGAATAAATATTTTTTTTTAAACAAGAATACTTAGAATGGCATAAAACACAAATGCGAAAATTTCTTTGCCTTCTTCTTAGAACTTATAATTAATATATTTATTTTAAAGAGCTAGGACAAAAATTTAAAACTGCACAATTTAGATTTTATAACAATTTGCAGTATTAGCATTGACTAGTTTTCGATCTGCAGAATGGAATTTAATTTTTATTGTAAGAATTTATATTACACAAATTAAAATAACAATTTTTTTTTTAATATATATTAAAATACATTTCCTTTCTTTAAGAACTGTCAACAGGCAATTTGTACAAAAGCAATCAGCACAGTGTACAAAATTATATATTAATAGCATGTTATATTGCGTTGGATATCACATGAGATCTTCATAAATATAAGCATTCTTTAACTAGTATGACTATAATTATAACTATAATTAGTTATAATTATATATAACATAATTAAAATTGCAATAATTATTATTGATCATATTAACTGATAATTGATATTCCAAATCTCTGCAAAAATTATTTATAAATTTATATAAAAATATAAATGTGTTCCACAGAGACGCAAATAAAGTTTTACCATAATATTAGGTATAACGATTCATATGAATGGCATGTTTTTCAGTATGATATGTCTTAGATATTTGGTTAAGCACAGGTGCAATTTCAGGGTCGTTAATCCATACATTTGCCGAAGCAGGTGTTTCTATCATTGACAAATATGCTGAAAGAAAAAAAATGTTAGAAAACATGATTACAATTTATTATACTTTTTTTATTGTTTCATTTTACCAAGCAACATCTTTGGTCTTGTAAGACTAAGCTGAATATGAGGATTACTCATAATTGCTTTATAAATTAGACCATCGGATTCGAGGCCTTCATCCAAATCTTGTAAACTACGTCTTCTTTCGCCCAGCAGCCATTCACACTGTTACAAGAGATATAAAACTCGAGAGATATAAGAAAATATAATTTAAATATACATCTTTAGTACAACCATTACAACTTACAGCATTAGCCTGATCATTCCCAGTAACTTTCAATGCCCCTATAACATTTTTGTCCTCAAAGCCCATTTCTACAAGTGATCGCATTGCTCTCTTATTAGGTTTAAATTCCATTCTCTTCCATTGTCGAAAACTTTGCAATAATAATTCTACGATATATACCAGATCTTTTTCTTCTTGATCCTGTTTTTCTTTTAAAGTTTAAAGACATTTTTAAATAATCTAATGTTATATCTTTTTTCATATAGTTTATTACTTTCAACTTGGATTATCTTCGAAATAATAACGCATATTTCAATTTTGTGTAAGAATTACCTTTGAACAGTTCCAAACATGCTTCTTTAAATGACTTTTTCTTAGTGTTCATTGAAGAACTAGGATTTGCAATATCTGTGTCTGTCATTGTATCCGCAGGCAAGAAATCTATTTCATCATCTGAATCATCATCTGAATCATCCTGATGTTCTATAAGCCATTCTAAAGCTTCTGTCATATTCGACCTAAAATAGAGGCATACTCTTCTATAGTACTATTCGCGAATGTATTATATATGTATATAATATAAAAACATTGATACTTGCTTTCGAAGACATAACGCTTTGAGAACTTTCTTATGAGGATAACCCATTTCTATAAGACTTTTTATGACTTTTGGATCATTAATAGGATTACACCTAGCTTCAAGTTTCTCCTTAATATCGTCATATAATTTTTCAGCATAAGGACTGTACATCAAGATTTTTGCAGATGCTTGTACAAGAGTTATTAAAATCTTACGGATTTCATTCTGGAACTACAAGAAACAATAAAGACGTAAAATAATATGATAAATAAAAGTATAAGCATGTAAAATATTTATATTTACATCCGCAGGGCATTCTGTAGATGGCACAGGCTTAGGCGGATTTCGTACACTAGGTAGATCACTTGTAGCTTGAGCTATTGCTTCTAAACTTGGACCTTTAAGATCTTCCTCCAATGAATCTTCTTGCGATCGTATTTCTACTAATAATAACTCATCTGTAAGAACAAATTATTGTGTTAAAAAAACATAAGTACACAATAAGTATGTACAAATTAAAAATTAATCGAAAAAATAATTAATATTATAAATCTATAAATAGCTCAATATAAATAATTATACCACATTCATTGATATCCTCGTCGCTTACATAATTTTCATCCTTAAGCTGTACAAATTTGGTTGAATGAACTAAGCGATAGTTTGAGATAGATTTGGTTGTATCTTGACCATAAAAATGTACCACTGCTATTTTCTTAATATTTTCCACGGTAAAGTTTGGTTTTATTGCAACATCTAATACATTGCCCTCTATGCTGTATAAAAAGATTTGATGTTAATTAATCTGGTAAGATTTCTTGAAATTTCTGATATCAAACATAAATCCAAACCTGATAACGTTGATGGAAAAGTTTTCAGGTGAGGTAGGTAACGGTGTAAGCATAGTGTCATTGCTTGTAGCATTGCCTGTGCTGACAGAAGAAAGGGCCAAGGACCGCTTGTCAGCCGTCCTTGAACTTTTTCTGTTATGCCAGGCTTCTGCTATTTGATCACGCATCCATGGGATCATTAAATTTACCTGAAATATGTGAAGATAATTATTATCACCACATTATTATACAATGAAAATGTAGATTAATGTTGATTCAATATATATATTTCTTTCTAAAATAAATATATAACTATTAGTATAAGTTACATATAATACACTCAAATTTAATACCTTTTATCTCTACATAAAAACTCAATATCTAATTTTCATAGAAAATTAATGTAAGCAGATATAATTATATTTTCTTACTTTTATGAAGCCTTTCACATAAATAATTCAGATATCAATCTAGTATTGCATAAAGACTCTCGATGGATCGATTGTGGAGATTATACCGAAAAATACAAATCATTTTTTCGGCTAAACTGTCAAGCACGTTAAAGAATCAATAAATCAGCTAACATCTTCGCAAATACGGTGCGTCAAAACATATTATTTTTACAAAACTTGGCCTCTTTTACTCCGTAAGAATCGTAACTGCCATAACAACTGATAGCCACATTTCGCATCACACACTTTTTATCTGCTAAAATCTTAAAAATTCCAACTCTGATCGTAAATAATTTGGACAATTCGCAGCAATAGCTCGCATTTGCGACTTGCGACTGTCAGCGGCTGTTGGCAGCTCTAATTTTTTTTTTTTTTTTTTAGCTGGAGGACATTTAGTGGCGCCTCTATATGTACAAAGCATGCATGTTGAACTATGCAGCCACGATTATTTCCGGTGGGTAACTTCTATGAATTGAGGGATTATTTGGTCTTTTCCAAATAATTGTTTGTTTTATTTTGCATTAAAACGCTATTAACTTTACGCTTTTTAATATATTTTTTTAGATTTAAAATATTCTATTATGGAATACATGCAGAACCTAACAAAACAATCACGAAAGAAAATTAGAATATTTTAAGCCTAAAAGAAAAACAAAATGTAAAAAAACATGGTAATTAAAAGAGACCAAATGTTCCCGCATTTTATCACATTTTATCGTTTTCTAGACACTGTGATTTCCATTGTAAGTTGGTAATTATTATATAATATATGAATTGCAGTCTGGATTTTCGAGGAGAAAAAGAGAAAGACAAACAATGTAGGAAAGCATCGGACATAAAGAGACTCCATTTTCCTTCGCCCTCTTTCCGTCGTGAATTTCCACGGATTTTCATGGCGCGAAAAAAGCACCCTGCAAACAGACTCCATAGGCTAAAAAGGAAGGTGGAGGAGGAAGACCGGCGCGTCGCCATGGCAACGGAACGTACGGAACGCGCGGACTGATGTTTCGCGTTCCGCTGTTCCAGCCAGCAGCTGCGACTGTCAGCTGTTCAATATGGAACGATAGCAAAGTGCAGTCACTTGTAGGAGTCGGCCGCCGTCAGAACGACTTCAACTAGAAGGGACATCCAGAGACAACCGAAGCCGAGCCTACAGAAGCTATATCGACGGAGTGGTGCGAGCGTGTTCCCTTTTCGTACCAGCGCGCGCAGAAGCGGGCGCGAGCGGGACTGAACGTCGTTAGCGGGGGTGTGAAACAGTGATAGGGGAGAGGTAGTTGATACGCGCGCTGCGCCGAGGGCGAGACAGAGAGAAGAGGCGAGTTTTCGTTAAGAGCGTGTGTGTCGCGCGTGTACGGCCACGCACACGTGTCACCGTGATTTATGCGAGAGATCCCGCGCGAGATCAACCTGGATGTATTAACGCAAGGCTTAAGGTACAGCATATCAGGACTCATGAACCTCGCAACCAACCAGACGTCCGACACGACGTCCGACGCGCAGAGCAAGGGTCCCTACTTTGTTAACTTCAATCAGGACTGCACGTAAGTACGGACGTCGCATATTCTGCTATCTAATCGCGGAATCGTCCCTCGGAATCTCTCCTCCACCTCCTCCCCGTTCCCCATCTCCTTTGTCTGATCCTAACCTCATTTTTCGATCGTCTCCCCGTCCTCGACGCGTGTCGTCTTTTCTCTCACTCTCAATATATCTATATACACATGTATATACATATATATGTATATATATATATATACGCCTCACGCCAAGGTTTGCGTGTCGCGCGACTCCCATGTTTTCCTCGCACGATGTTTTCGTCGCGTTATGCCTGCGTCATTCGCTGCTCCCCCTTTCACCGATTAATTGCGTGTTAACGAAAGAGACCCCAACCTTCGCGCGCGTTCTCCCGCGCGTCGCGACGAGTGATTGGGAAGTGAGAGAAAGAGGAAAAAAAAAGGAGACGGCGATATCGCACCTCCCGGCGCGCGAGCTAGTCGGTCGACCTGGCCTTTCCGCTCGCGCCGCCTTATCCAAGGACTTATCCTCGGCTCCTGCTCCTCGCACGATTGCGTATCGTTCGCGACGACTCCGTTATTATTTCTTTTTTTCTTTCTCTCTCTCTCTTTCTCTGTATATGATATTTGCCAGACGGCGATGGCCAATAATGGGAGATAGGCAAACAAAGGGTATATACTTACGTGTACATACTTATCGAAGAAACTTGATTCTATGTTTTTTGAATACTATCACGTCTTTCTAACGAAAAGAAAAGAAAGAGTCACTGAGGGAGATGTTATAGTTATACCCACAAAAAACAAACAAAATGAATTCTGATTATATAAATTAGAATTCTAATTATCGTGATTGAACTTCTGGTTATCTTGATTAGAATGTTTGATAGAGTTAACTTTGTAAGTGTCTGATTTGCATATTTCTGAATCTAGCTGAATTCTAATTATATATGCAATAAGATGTTTTCTAGTGTAGGTTTGTAATAGCATGTCCAAAATGGAGGCAAAAGACTTCTTAAAGACATCTTTAAGATGTCTTATGATGTAATGTTTAAAAGATATCTTAGGCTAGTATTCATATTCTGTTCTTATTTCAAGATCATCTTAAATAATATGATTACTTTGTGACATCTTAAAACTTAAGGCAGTCATAAATATAAAAATCGACAATTAATATTAGCCTTAATGATGTCATTAAGACGTCTTATATTTCAGTTTTGGACATGATGCTGTGTGGTTTCAATAAAATTCCTTATTACCTTTTAGGTCCTTGGCGGTGGGATCAAAGTCAGGATACAAACTTTATTCCATCAGCTCCGCAGGACATCTTGAGAAAATATATGAAAATGGTAATAATTAGTTTTTCTGTATTCTATCAATAATTCCTGGAACTAAAAATAACTGCTACAATAATGATTAATAGAATGATAATAAATGATAAACGAGATAAAAAATTTCTAAATATCTTTTATGTCAAAGATATTTGTAACTTTTGTGTCACATTAACACGTTATCTGCCCAGTAACTTTTATATGTCTTATATGTACGCTACGATAGAATTTTCATTATCGTAAGCATATAATAATATATTGCATGATATGATAAAATAAGTTTATATGCTCATAGATAGTATGATAAACTATGCACTGTTTACATTGTTATCTAGTTATTTTATCATAGATAGTATGGTAAACTGTGCACTGTTTACATTGTTATCTAGTTATTTTATATAATTCACAAAATTTTATATTAAATAATATTTATTTTTTACAAGCGCTAAAAAGTTAGGCGCTGGTCATGAATGATCATATCGACGTGTTAAACGAAACTAAACGACCAGTTCGAATAGAAGCCTTTGATGTTATTAATTAGAATATTTCATTTTTTCGAGATGATGCAGACTTCGAGGATATATGCATCGTTGAAAGATTGTTCAGCAGCAGTTTGGTGGCGATCGTGAGTCTTAAATCGCCTCGTACGCTTACGGTGTGCCACTTTAGGAAAGGAACAGAGATATGCAATTACAGTTACTCGAATACAATTTTGGCTGTGAAACTCAACAGAGCGGTAAGTTATTCAAATTTATGTTTACATTCTTCTTCTTTTTCGTAATAATAGTACAGAACCTATTTCGAGCTTTGACCTCAAATATGAAAGCATTGCAGTTTTATTGTGAAACCTTAGTTTTTTCACAATTTACAATCACGATTTTTATGGAAAGGAATAAATCCCTTTTTGCTTGTTAAGCAACTACTTGTACTGAGGTTTATTCAACACAGTTGAACAGAGCTTGGATTGAATGTAAACCCTTGCTTATATTTAGATTTAATCAATGAACATTGGGGTTCCGTATCCTTGAATCTTACAAATTTCAGTTTCCTCTTTATAAACAACAGTTTTTATATAATGTGGTTGTCAGACACATACATAATTTCCAACTTGGAAGGTCAGGGAGCTATTTTACTGATTATAAATTTGAAATATATGGGATTAAACTTGAGACTCACTAATTATGAGTTAGCTATTCTCACACAACCACGCAGCATTCCAATGTTCACATCCCAATTAATGAATTAACATTATAGATGTTTTCATACATATATAATCGTATAAATGTATAAATAAATACATATATACAATACAATTATTATAATTTAAAAAAATTATATCTTATGTTAGACATGTATTCATATGAGCTAATTACTTTTTAAATTCTGCATATCTTATGATAATTCTCACATATTTTAAATTGTAAATTTATATGTAATGTTTTATTGTAAAATAAATAAAGCTTTGATAATATGTTTTTATAATATGTTTTTATAATATAATTTTATAATATGTTTAATGTTTTTCATAATCTTCGATACACTGAAGGCAGTATCATTTATTTCAGAGATTGGTGGTGTGTTTGGAAGAATCACTATACATTCATAATATACGAGACATGAGAGTGTTACACACAATTCGCGATACTCCACCTAATCTTACAGGCCTTTGTACACTTTCGCCAAATAGCGACAATTGTTATGTAGCTTACCCAGGATCGAATACCATTGGGGAAGTTCAAATATTTGATGCAAATCATCTTGTATGTATTTTAAATAAATTTGAATAAATCAGTAAAATCTTTGGAGCATTAGAAATTAACATATTGCCAACTTTACGTTTTTTAATTGTACAGCAAGCAAAAACAATGATACCTGCACATGATAGTCCATTGGCAGCAATTGCTTTCAGCTCGACTGGCACCAAAGTGGCGACAGCCTCTGAAAAGGGCACCGTTATTAGAGTTTTTGACGTAAGTAGCTAGTAGATACAATAGTGCCTATATTTTATTCATAACTGCTGCTTCAATTGCAACAATTGTTTATTTTTACAGGTTCACGAGGGTACAAAGTTATTCGAATTTCGACGCGGAGTTAAGAGATGCGTCACGATGAACAGTCTTTCTTTCAGTATGGACTCTATGTGGCTCTGTTGTTCTAGTAATACGGAAACTGTGCATATATTCAAACTGGAGGAACCAAAGGAAACGTATGCATCGTGTATTCACTGTTTTTTTAAATAAATATTTCATTAAAATGTAGACACAAATGTATCACTTGGGTTATAGGCCAAACAAACAAACTGCAGACGAAGCACAAAGCTGGATGGGATATTTAACGAAGGCTGTGACAGCGTCGGCTACGTATTTGCCGTCGCAAGTGACTGATGTTTTTACTCAAGGACGTGCTTTTGCTAGCGTTCACCTACCGTTTCAAGGTTTAAAAAATGTCTGTGCCATCACTGTGTGAGTATCCGAAAATTCGTTATCTTAAATTTACGTGTACTGTGCGTTAGATTTATTACGTACTCACAATACATTTTACTTATCTACATTTTAGAACACATAAAGTACCAAAATTGTTAGTAGCTAGTGCCGATGGTTACTTATACGTCTACTCCGTGGATCCGACAGAAAGTGGATGTTGCACGCTTATAAAACAACACAGGTTCGTAATATTATAATTTCAATGAGTTTTATAAAATTGATAAACACAATTGTTATTTTTGATTGCTTATTTTCGGATCGTCATTTTTAATCATTATTCTTAAAATATTAATAGACTGTGATTAATAAAAATAAAGATGGAAAGATGTCTTACTCATTTTTCACAGATTAGACGATAAAGAGCGAGATGAATCAGATTGTGGTGGTTCTGGTTCAGGAGCAGCAGCTACCACGAATAATACAAATACAGGTATGAAGAAAGAATTTTGGACTATACATTTACAAATTAGTTGAAGCGAGTTGACGATAAAGATACATTACCGACAGTTAATTTGAAAATATATTTAAAATAATGCGAAACTTCTTTATATTTATTCACTATAATACGCTTGAGTGTGTATAGAGTTTCCTTTGTCTATTCTTTTTTAAAGTAATTTTATGATTTTGAGATAAGTTTCGCAATTACTCGAGCACTAACAGAATAGATTAAGTATCTCCTTCTTTAAAGCACATATACACATACACGTACACACAGAATTGGTACTGGCAGATACTTGCACTTTTTATGCCATAACTATAATGAACTTATTGAAACACACTCATCATACAATTGATTAGTGAATCTCAGTAAAAAGAAAAAGAGTATCGTTTCTTCCGTTCAAGTTAATCTCGCTATCTTTTGTCCATAAAACTAAAGTAATGAAAGAAAAATTATCTGTCGATAGCAAATTCAATTAATTACTTTTATTATAAGAATCAATATAAACTCATATTTTTGCTCAGACAAAAGCTATATTCTTATAGAACTCGCCTGCTGTTTTATTGTGTAGTAGACAAATCGCTACTTCCATGTATTTGTAGATTCTGCTATGGTCAAGTAATTCATTAAAGTTGATCCAGTATCAGCTCTAATAAAATGCTTATATCGTTGGCTATGTACCATGCCGTGTGGGTGTGTATGCGTGTACCGCGCGCCGCGTATTCCAGACGCCTTTACTTTGATAATTTGCTTTATATCTTCTTTTTCTCGCTTCTAGCCCCCCCTTTATGAATAAAATAGCCAGATAATTTCTTCAGGGACTCAGGGGAGGGGGAGGGGGGGCCTGATAGTTGACCTTACTTGATGTAATTTTTTTCTTTTTAATATCCACCGAAGCCTGCATAAATAGCTACGCGGGTGTGTTGCGTGGCCGCTCGCCAGACTCCATGTCAGGTACTGGTATGTCCTCTATTCTGTCCCTCGAATTTTTTTTTTCGCTCTCATTCTCCGTACACAAAACACCTAATTCTCCTTTAAAGCTTTTCTCTCTTTTTGTATGTGAGTGTGTGTGTGTGTGTGCCTCACTACTAGCGCTCGCGCATTTTTATTCTATACGTACACGCAGCGAAAGGAAGAATGAGAGCAGTGCTGAATAACAATGTGCCTTTTCACGCGGCCTACATCCTCGCGTGTTAATATGAGCAATTTATATTATACCGTATTACAAATACGGATAGATCACAAATTGATTACGCTTATTAACTGCAGAAACAAATTCTTAAGATGGATATATGATACACATGTGCACAGGACATGCATGTAGATACTAGTCTATTATTCTCGGGATAAATCACTAAGCACGTATGCAAGTTGTTTTACTAGTCAGCAGATATAATAATATCTAGCATTATTGCATCCCGTTACGAAATATCACGAGAATTCCTACAAGCAGTAGTCTATTTTTAGAAGACTACCTCATAGATATCTTAATATTATAATAACAATGTTAACAATTGTACATAATTACTAATATATGATTATTAAGGCTGTTAACACAAATAGCTTGTATGATATTAGTGTCATAATTATGTAAGACGTTATATGATGGCAGAGATAGTAGTGACGTATATTTTTTAGAACTTAATGTACTAATCATTATAAAAGTACATATATGACGTACTTCTATTAACGGTATTGTTCCTATACATTAAGTTCAGTATATGTAATATATAATGAGCTATATAGAATCTAAGAAAATAGATAGCTCTTTTTATCTAATATTTTCTTCTTTTCTTTTGGTCTTCATGTCATAAAATCGAATAATGAAATCGAAAACAGGCTGTAATAATTTGCATTCGTTTGTAAAAAATAATATTAAACAATATTTGAAAATAGAAATGTAAAAATAAGAATCGTATTATATATATATATACTCACCTGTCTAATTTTGTAAATATTGCTTCATATTTTCTCTGCTTTTTTTTATATCGCATTTATTATTGAACGTAAATTGAATGATAAAAACATCGTCGTATTACGTAAAAGTATCTTTTACCAAAGACGAGTATGCCATATACGCACGATTATTTTTAGTACATATACAATAGTATATGTATTAGAAAATTAAATGCCTGTATGAGATTAATGATTTTTTTTTAGAGAAGACCATAATTTCATATTCATTAACGAATTCATTAGTGAATGTATTTCACAATGTGATGTAGACAATGGTCAATGAAATATTTAATATTTGCACTCAGATAAAAACGTTCCTGTGCAATATTCGAACTCATATTTTATTCCTCTAATCTAGGACTTGTATTTTAATCCAATAAAGTTGGGAATCTTAGAAATCAAATTTGCATTAAGAAAGATCCAAATTGAGAACATATCTGAATGCATAAAATATATCATATATCATTGAATGCTGATCGTCTGTATACATCTTTATCGTTATATCCGCTCGAGATAATGCGATCGAGATGGAAACCTGATAATCTGAATGGATTTGTAGAATCAGAGAAGTATCAAGAAATGATAGCAGCGACGGAAAGCCCACCAAAAGGCGGCGGCCCGTTTCGTCTGGACGATGATACCGAATTCCCACCTGTCACGCAAAGGACAGATTGAGCATAATCCATACACAATTAAGGCATATCAAAAGCTCAAGCTGAATGGAAATGAGAAAAGCCATGCGAGAGCAACGAAAGAGCGAAAGGGACACAGAGTGCAGAGGACGTCCAGTATTTACAGACGGCTCTATATCCAGTACTCCCAGTTCAATAGAACCAAAAATTTAAAAAATCTGTAGGCAATATACCGAGATTGTTACGTTACCTTGTACGCGTTAAAGATCATAGATGGAATGTGTGCACGCTAAATTAGAAAGAGATTGGATTTTTATATACTAATCCACATATGCCTGTGCAACAGAAAGGAAAGAAGTACCGCTGAGTAACACTCTCGGTCGTATTAATAAATTGTTGAATTTTTAAGCGGAATTTCTTTTATCATTAGCTAAATAGACATTGCATTTGCAAAAGAAATGCAATATCGCGCGGACAATATAGTAATCCAATGATAATAATCTTTTCAACTACAGGAATTACGCGATGAAAATTTTTTTTGTCAAGTACACAGAGAGTGTACAATATATTATAACGCGAAGTATTTCTACATTCTAATACTTCTATATTTTATATAGAAGTATTTTATGCAGAAAACATGTGTTTTTACTGTAGCCCAAGACGGCTCAGGATAATCCAATATCGAAAATGACGAATTAATATAATTAAATTGTTTTATCTTAACGAACGCCATACTCTTTACGAGCAATAACTATTATTTATCTGGACTTTATGCAAATATTTGACTAAAAAATTATTTTAGTTTTAGGAAGAAGAAAAAATTGGAGCAGTCGGTCTCGGTTCAATAATCAAAATGACTATGATCTACATTTATTAGAAGACTTTGAAATTATTTGTTTAGAAGAAATATTGGACTGCATCAAATTCTAACATCTACGATTAACGCCGACTAGCTGTTCTTGCTTATTCAATCACGCTTACTATAATGTTTATATTGAAAAATCGATATAAACAAAATTGGTAACGGTATAAACAAAAAAGTTTGCTTTTTATCCTATCGTATGAAAATCATACAAACGGCGGGAAGGATTTTGGCTATTTTAAAACACGCTTTTGAGCTTGCGACATAACACATCTGTTTCGTTGCATGTCTCATTGGATTGCTATATTTTATGATGAAATCTTTGTCTTCTTTGTGTTTACAAAAAAAAACTCATCTTCTTTGCGAAGATGTAAAAATATATAAATATATATGGCAAATTGTCGAACGATGAATTTCAGCTGTAATTCTTGTATAAAATATAAGATCCTTTGACATATGTTAGCTTCTTAGAAGAATGTAAAACATGATCAAGTTATATAATTTTGCCAAAAAAATATCAATTTTGTAACGATATGATGCTTTGTTGGCATTTAAAGTTCAAAAAGTACTTCAGTCTTTACGTGATAGCTATGGGACAATGAAATAACAAATGATAGCAGGGACAAGTATAAAGTATTTATAAAAATGCGGGAAAGGAATTCATTCCATCTTTCTTAAAATATAAATCATTCTAGACATATTATTTCATGCTGATCAGACAAGATAATTTCGAAAATTACGCGTACTGAGAATTCTAACTCGATGAAAATTTTATATGTTATCAAACATCATCATGCTGTATCTTAATGCTTTATCAGATAATTATGTATAATATGTAATCGTATCGAATGTGTGCAATAAGCAGTGTCTCTTTGAATGCTTTTTCCGAATCGATTATTTAAAACTGTCATGACATGTAATTTGTATAAATAGTTCATTAGTAGGGAACAAAGAATTTTCGATACATTTGCGTTTTCGTTTAGTGTCGACTTCGTTAGCGGTCGAACTAAACTATGAATAAAATCTCTCCATTGATCGGTGCCAATTTACCGAAATAGAAAGACGACATCAGCGCTGAGTGAAGGTATTTTGTCGTTGTATGATGACGATGGGCACAGCTACCGTTTCTTTTTTCATAATTCTTCGTAGCATATTATGTAAAATTTAATGGATCTTATAATATGTCTCCGATTAGCGGTTTTATACTAACGAATTTTATTTGGTAAATAGTTTTACTTTTATAAAGATAAATAAAAGTGTTAAAATAACCAATGTACATATGAACGTGCTAAGGCTTAAGCTTTGAACGTCATTCGTCAGCGTATAAAGTTTCTTATTAACACACGTGATTGTGCTGGTCTGCAAATGAAAGAAAAAAAAAGAAAAAAAGACACTGTGAGTCTTCTTATCTACGATAGGTTCAACATCCTATTTTTATTTGTATTTAATAAAATTGCTGACGATTTTTTATAAATCAATGTTTCTTTCATTGGAAATTTGCGTTATCACAACTTTGTTCGTATGAAAACTTGTGCTAATATTAAGTGTTTTATTAGCAAGAGACACAGTGTAACATAATGAATCATTACATTTTTTTTGTTCGCCAATATTAGACAAAGATGAAATGGTAACTGTGTTACACTGTTTCTTCCTGGAAAACATCAGTTACTTCATATAAATATTGTGCAAGACTAGCAGTATAACCATTACAAATTTTCAAATGAAAAATAAACATTTTCATGATTTTATCGAATGTATTTTTAGCATTTGGATTAACATTCCTATTATATGCGAAACCGATTATTTTCAAAATAAAATATTTAAAAATGCAAATTACAAACGTAAAAACTTGAAACTTTTCGTTAATTAGAATATGCATTCAACTGTCTTGTAAGTTTATTTTATAATTGCATCGATTTTTTTTAGATTGAAATTAAAATATTACCTTTATTACTAAAGTAAAAATTATGCATCGAATATCAATCGTTACCTAGAAAGAATAATTATTTCTGATATAATATATCAATCTTTTAATTTTTTGTGCTACTTTTTTAAATTTTAATTCTATTCTTGAAGTTTATATCAAATACTATATCAGAGAGGTACAACCAATTACGGCATAATAGTATCAACAACTTGCTACTGTTTTGTAAAAAAAATCGGACAATCTCTTTTTACTCATATTATATTTATATTATTCGGCTCCTTCATTATCAGAAATTTCAACGTTTATAAAACTGCGTTATAATGCAGATAATCATTACGATTCGAATGACGAGATTGAAAAAGGCTCTTTATCGTCGTATATGGATTAATTTACTATCAAGGGATATTTGTAAAATCGTCAACGTACATCATCAGTTGACAATCTCATCTCGACATGGCATAAATTTTTATATTACTGCAATGTGTGAGTGTGGACAACAGAATGTAATCTCATCGAGTACAGTGATAATGCAGCAAAAGGGTCCATTCTGAGTTCAAGCTCGACAAAATACATAATCGTTAACGCATGTAAAATTACGTAGCAAAATTGCAATGGGTAATATGTATATTCCTATAATACGTGTATACACGGTATAAAGTGTCATTTCGCCACTTTGTAATAATCTTCCTATTATGTAATTGTTAATCAACGATGATTATATTTCTATTACATCCATGTTGCCACGTTTGTGGAAAAGAAAGGAAAGATAATTTCATATAACGATATCGCTAAAAGATCAAGTTCTATTAATAAAAATGGAAATAATCATATGGACAAAGTTTTCAATCGATATTTTATATCCGAATGTTTCTTAGCTACATGGATTAGGGTCTATGCCCTTTTTTCTACAAACACAAAGCTGTATGTACCTCATATAAAATTTCCATTTATCTTATCCATTTATTTACGCTCTTTATATTTCAATTGTATCACTTAAAAACGATTCCTGTGCAATATATTATGTGGTAACAGACAGGCCCTTTTGTCGTATGCTCACTGTAATGACATACAAGGAAACGAAAACTTAGCTATAGAGATCGTCATCTCCATCATCTTGAAAGGTTTGATCGCCTTGTGTATTATCTTGAGCACCGCCTGCTCCACTTTGTGGAAATCTGCAAATAATTTTTTAAGATGAAAAAATATTTTTTATTATGTACAAATCTGTCCAGTAAAAATATGTATCATATTTTTAGCATTTAAAAGAACAATAACCATAAGGATTTAATTTAATTTCTTTGTTGTTTTGCATATATATTGGAATTTGAAAAAGAAAATTCGTACCTGAAATTAGTCCCAAATCCTCGAGATTGCTGAAGCGTTTGCGCAAACATTTCGTACTTGCGAATATCATTGTCGGACACTGAACGACGCGCAAACCTCATTGCTTCCTCGAAGTGAGCTCGCGTTATTTCTGGTACAGGATCATCCTCATCCATCTAGAAAAAGCGAATAGTAGAACGTAGAACTTAGGAGTGATATACATATATATTAATAGCAATTTTTGTGTTCGAATTATTTAATTTCTATATAAATGTATATATCGTTTACTATTGCTAAAAAAATGCATGAAATAATTGTTATATGCGATATATAAAAGTTTTTTCCCTTGCGATCGGAAAATGAAATATTGTACTACTTATCATAGTACGTCATAAAAAATAAAAAAAATGTATAAGAAAACTTTCTCTGCTGATGTTTCAAAAATGACTCGAATAAAGTCTAATGCTGACTCAGATGTGAGTCATACAAAATGATACAGCAGAAATGAGTCTACGGAATAATGCAAAAACACTGTAAAGTGAAGTGCATTTTATAAAGATATCTTACATCCATAGACGCGGATGGATTATTTGCTCGTTCTTTTTCCCTTCGAATTTCAGTCTCGATGCACTGTCTAATGGCAAGTTTGCATGCCCGCTGGCAGATTTCTGTCAAGTCAGCACCGGAAAAGCCGTGCGTGACTTTGGCGATGTAGCTTAGATCCACATCCTAATAAAAAAAATTTTTAATAATTAAAAACGCACACAGGAAAATAAACAATACATCGCTATTATTAATTATCTGTATATTTTAGGCAAATTTACGGAATTATTACCTTAGCTACAGGAGATTTCCGAAGATTGGCGCGGAATATCGCTTCTCGAGACTTCTCGTCAGGTAATGGTATATAAATTAATTGATCTAATCTACCGGGTCGTAGAATTGCCGGATCGATGATATCGGGTCGATTTGTTGCTCCTATGATGAATACATTCTTTTTCGCACCCATACCGTCCATTTCCGTTAATATCTGATTTATCACACGATCCGCAGCACCGCCAGCATCGCCGACGGTGCCTCCTCGAGACTTCGCAATAGAATCAAGTTCATCAAAGAACAGTACACAAGGTGCTGCTGATCTTGCCTGAAAATAATTTATTGTTAAACGATAATCTTAAATTCTTCATTAAAGAATACGAGATGGTTTACCTTATCGAAGACATCTCTGACATTAGCTTCCGATTCTCCAAACCACATAGTTAATAATTCAGGACCCTTGACAGAAATGAAATTTGCTTGACACTCATTGGCAATCGCTTTGGCCAATAGTGTTTTACCACAACCAGGTGGGCCGTAAAATAATACGCCTCTTGACGGTTGCATACCGAATTTTAAGAATTTATCAGGATGTTCCACTGGATACTGCGCGATAAAGACGCACGTTAATAAATGTGTAATTTAAAACTAATGTATATATATTAAATCTTGTATCTATTCTTACCTGCACCAATTCTTGCAACTCCATTTTAACATTTTGTAAACCTCCAATATCATCCCAGGTGACCGTTGGTACCTCCACAATGGTCTCACGTAGAGCACTCGGACTGCTTTTCGTCATTGCATACTTTAACAAAAGATATTGAGATTTAACAAAAAGATACTTTTATTTAGAAAACGATATGAATAAATTTAATACAAGATCAAAGTAATAACCCACTTTGAAGTTTTCCATTGTTACCGCAAGCGAAGATAAGACTTCTGCATCTATATGGTCGTCTTCCAAGTCTATAAGATCCATTTTTTCACGAATTTGTTGAAGAGCCGCTTCGGAACATAAAGACGCCAAATCGGCACCAACGTGTCCATGAGTTTCTGCTGCAATCTAGTGATATTTTGTTAAATATTACTACAATTATAAAATGTAACTATTTTGATCTATTAGAAGTGTGTGACGTAAAAATAAATGGTACCTCTTCTAAATCGACATCATCAGCAAGCTTCATATTCTTCGTGTGGATTCTCAAAATTTCCAATCGGCCAGTAGCATCTGGTATACCAATGTCAATCTCTCTATCGAAACGTCCGAATCGGCGCAGTGCCCCGTCGATGCTGTTCGGTCGATTGGTAGCTGCCATTACAATCACATGGGAGCTTTGCTTCATACCATCCATCAGTGTCAACAGTTGAGATACAATACGCCTTTCGACTTCGCCATGCGTCTATGTAAAAAAAATATAATTTTTATTTCAAAATGCGATTTATAAAAGACATTAAATTTGACTTGGTGAACCTTTTCACGTTTCGGCGCGATCGCATCAAGTTCATCAATAAATATAATGGCCGGAGAATTTTTCTCGGCTTCCTCGAACGCCTTCCGCAAGTTGCTTTCAGATTCACCAGCCAGTTTGCTCATAATCTCAGGACCTGCATAGAAAGAGGGAAGTCTTTAAATATCTTATATTACCTTATATTCCTAATTCATATTATACATTTTTATTCCTATAATTAAATACTATTTTGCTTGTATTCAGATTGCATACCGTTTATGAGAAAGAAGAATGCTCCAGTCTCGTTTGCCACAGCACGTGCAATGAGAGTTTTTCCTGTACCTGGTGGTCCATATAACAATATACCACGTGGTGGCTTAACGCCGATGGCTTTAAACAGAGATGGATGTCGCAGAGGTAACTCTACCATTTCCTTAATTTGTGCCAACTGTTTACGGACGCCACCGATATCGTCGTAACCTACAGCATTTAATGCTTCTTCTTCCTCCTGTAAATAAATGCTCTTTGTTATCTACATCGGTATTAAAGATACTAAAAACATATAACGTATTTTTCTGACCTCTCGTTTTATCGGATCACCTTCACAATGTATCACTGTATCAGGCGCCACAATGCAAAATGGTCCCGGATCAGTTTCTACAACTTTGAACTCCACAGCTCGCATGCCACCTCGTACAATAAAATTATCATCTTTGTGAATAGGACGGTATGCTTCCAGGAAGTATGGTTTTAAATAGACTTCAAATAGATTTCTACAAAAATCGAAAAATACATAATTTATATATTTATATCATCATAAAAGTATTACGTAATTAAAAGTAAAACGCACAAAATTAATTTCAAAAAGACAATATCAACTCATGGTTTTACAAATATATATATATATATATATATCAATTTTATTGGGGTGATGTTTGGTTTAGTATGAAAGGACTGATTCAAAAGGCCTATTCTTTTTGGCAGTTCATCTTTCTTCTTTTTTTTCCCCTCTAAAGAGAAAAGGAAGAAAGATGAACTGGTGCAAAAATTCAGCTAAAAAGAATAAGCCTATAATTTACAGATTCCAAGTTCAATCCCCATGTACTTACACCCGCAATTTTGTAAGATCAATTAAAGAGTTGAAGGTTATATTATGAAAAAAATAATAGAATGAAATCTACTTTGCATCTATATTTCATTTATGTCTAAATCTTAGACATAACGTTAAATTTACCCAGCAAGACCATCGACAGTATCATCCATTGGCAGCACATGAATACGTTTTCCGTACTTGACTTCTGGACATGCTTGTACGGAAACAACGTCGCTTAGACGTACACGTAAGTTATTTCTAACAACGCGGTTCATACGGATTTTCTCATCCGGACAGGTGTCATCCGAAAGTACGATGCACACTGTTTCCTTACGCCTTTTCCCCTTCAGCAATACGGTATCTCCGCGAAACAATTGCAACTCGTCCATTTTTGCTTGGGAAAGCGCAACCACGGAATTATCATCGGCAATTGCTTCATCAACCAACAATCTGTTTGGCCTATCCTTCTTACGAAGGATAGCTGTCGCCAAATCTTCACCACTGAAATATAAAACATTAATTATATATCAAATTATATGTCAAATGTAAAATGATTCTTATATGATTCTCCTTTGTTTAATATTTTATATTGTGAACACAAATAAATTCATGTAACAAAAATTAGAAATAAAAATGTTATCACCAATGAGAATATACAGCTACAAAATTTTTAAGACAAATGAGAACTATAATTTAAAAAAAAACCTAATTTTTGAAATTTAACAAATAAATCAAAAAATAAAGGATGACATTCTTTTAACATTTTTTTCTTGAAGGAAACAACTGTAAATGCTATTCTATATCCTATACAAAAATCTTTAAAATTATTTTTCTTATTAATTTATTACACAAAGTGTTCATGATGAAATAAACATGTTCTTATATTCTGAAGTGAGAAAAACAATAAAACTAATTAATGACATACCACATATATAAATATGTACATATATATATATATATGTACATTCCACAATACATTTTATTTGTTATCTACTAAAATCCTTGTAACATAATTCCTCAACATAATTTCAAAAGGTGATAAGTAACAAGTACACAAAATTAACATATTTTTAAATGTCAGGCACGTAAAGCGAACGCAAAATTGTAGCGAGAACATTCGCGTTCACGCTCGTAATTTTCGCATCCGTATGGACGGCCAGCTGACTCGGCGTCGCGAAGAATCGAGCGTCTTCTTCCCTTTTATCATGTTTGATTCGCGCACAGCCATGATCGGGCGAAGTGCCGGAAAATTTTTAAGTCCCGATCCGCGGTCCGCGGGAGCACCCTCGAGCGAGTCGGGGTGCCGCGAAGACGAAGAGGCGCGTGATTCACGACGTTATCGGCCGCGACGGCGAACGCGGGCCATCGCGAAAAACAAAGCGTCGCTCTGTCGACATGATGACATCGTGAAATTGAATGCCGCCTTGGCTGTCGCGCTCCGCGACACACACGTCGCTCCGCGACATGCGAACGCGAGCAATCGGCATGAAATCGCCGTCGATCGACTCAGGTCGAGCCCGTTACGAATTTCCTCACCTCTTTGGATCACTCATCGTCCAACCTTCGGTGTTGTCCGCGCAAAAAAAGGAATCTGCACAATGCACAATCTCTCCTTTCGGTACACGCAATGAGTATAGCAACGGAGTCACGGACACAAATGAGAGGAAACCGTCTCACCGTCTGTGATGACTCGCTTCTACCCATTGCCAAATCATAGGGTAAAGGCGTGTCCATATTTCGCGAAATCGGGACCGCCGCGTGGCGCGGCGACACCGGACACGTCAAAATAATCACGGTAGCCAATGGGTGCATTCAGTACTATAACTGCTCACTGTGCGCTCAGGGAGTTCTCGTACCTGTTTGGTCTATATTTTTAGATCTAACGGAATATGCCAATCGGATGCAAGAGCTCACTGAGCGGTTGTAGTACTGAATGCACCCAATGGCTACGTTCAGCAGAGAAAGCAGTTTTGTAATTGTTGTAAAATTCTTGAATATGATTGGTTTATACATTTAGATCCAGTGAGAAACTAAGGCCAATCATATTAAAGAATTATACAACAATTGCAAAGCTGCTTTTTCTGCTAAGGTCGAGTTCCACGGGAAGGCTCCGATTGCACACATTGCATATTGCAGGGGTGATCCCGATTGACCACGGCTCGATTGGACACCACCAATCACAGCGACCGGTGCTTAGGAGCTTTGTAGTCTCAAGCGCTGTGAGTGGCTCGTGTCCAATTGAGCCGTGTCCAACTGGGTGCCTCGAGCAAATCAAATGCAGTATGAATCCAGCATTAGATTGTGACTGATCAATTTCTTAAAAATCCGACTTAAAATCCTACGATCGTCTACGATTTCTATGTAGACAAGCCTTAATACGTGTCCAACTCTACAACCAATCACCTTCGCTGGGCTATGAACCTGCAGTCTCCTCTAGTTTCCTCCAATGATGTACGAGACTTTAGTATCAATTTACGTCACGCGCAGTTCGCGGTCTACAAAGTGAGACTAGAGAGAATTCGATAAATATACACACTTGTCAAATCGACTCGCAATGGCCGGGATTAAAGGTTATTTGGCACATTCTGATCATTTCACGCGTATGCAGTTCCCCGCGGCATGAATCCTCGAGAAATGTCATCATCGTGGGGACCTCGCGCTAAAACCGCGAAAATTGGCTGTCAAAACATAACCTCTTCGCACCACTGTTGTCATCGTCGTTTGACATTTGACTACGCGCACAATCCTCGTCACTTAATTAAGTTTCGTAACTTGATTTAAGAGCAAAGTGCGATCTTCACGTCGCGTCTCCCTTCGGTTTTCTTTTTTTTTTTAAACTTCGAAAAAACATTGTAATCTATAACAGTTTCGTTTTATGATATCGCAATGCATTGTTTGCAACTTTTAGGATCTTTAAACATTGCGATCCTTCATCTGTCGTGTTACGCAAAAATTTTATATAAACTTATTGCTACAAATAGATTCAAGACTAGACAACCAAAAATGCATTGTCAAACTCGTAAAAATGCAGACTGTTATCCTTTTAGGAGGCAGTCAACAAATGTTCTATCTTTTTTAATATTTAATGAATAACAATGATAGAACGACATTTGTCAATTATGTCTTCTAAAAGGACAACAGCCATAGTATTTATAATACTGTTAAATGCAATAGATTAATTTTGTATTTTTCTTATTTCATGGCGTTCTTTCCTTTGTGACGCTTTCTCGAAACAGCGTAAGTACCTTTGCAACCAAATAATTAGCATAAGGCTGGAATCACGCATTGAAGATTAAAAGATTGAAATGTGACCAATCAAAACAATAGGAACTAAAATTCCTTTATTCTCATTGGTCAAATTTCAATTTTCAATGCGTAGTCTGATTCCGGCTTAAGATGCTTTATGCTTTCCAGCAAGAGGCACAGTGTAATACAGTGATCACTTTATCTTTATTTATCATTGGGAAACAACAAAGCTGTAATGATTCACTATGACTGCGTTTCATTTAACACTCACAACGCTCGTGGAATCATTTCATCTTTGTCATTTATCAAATGTTAAACAAGGACAAACGATGCTTGCATTGAAGATTGAGATTGGAGATCGAAAGATTGAAATTTGACGAATCAAAACAATAGAAGCTAAAATTCCTGTCCTCATTGATCAAAATTTCAATCTTCAATCTTCAATTTCAATCTTCAATGCTGATTCCGAGCATTAAGTGGAACGTAATGTTGTTTACATTTCTTGCTGTAAAGCATCCATTTTTTTCTCTTAAAATTCGCGTGAAGTAGATGCTTCTCTGTTATTCACAAAATTTAATTAAGTTAGTTTTTTAGTACAACGATAATGGAAATATATAATTACAGATTAGTACTGCTAGCATTTGCTGGTTCCATTGGAATGACATTTGTCATTCTTGGCTGTGCATTACCGATATATAAGTGAGTAGCTTTATGAAACTAATTAGTTTTATCCAATTCTCCTAGAATTATAGAACGTTATAACACAAGTACAATTTCTAGAGTATGGTGGCCATTTTTTGTTGTACTGTTCTATATATTGGCACCTATTCCAACTATAATAGCACGTCGCTACACAGATGATTCGGGAAGCAATAGTAATCCATGTTTAGAGTTTGCAATATTTATTACAATGGGATTTGTAGTATCGTCCTTTGCTCTTCCAATAGTATTGGCGCGATCTCCGGCAGACCAGCCAGTGGTAAGTTACACACCTTTTTATAGAATATTTTGACCCTCTCTGCAATCTGAGTCATTTTTTTACATAAACAAAACTCTCATTTTTGCTCAATTTTCAATTTTTATTAAATAATAGTTAACATTTGAATTAAAAATTATTTGCCAATGTAATAGAGGGGATGTTGAAAAATCCTAAACTTTTTTTTGAGAAAATCTAGAACAGTAGACAAAACTTTTAAGCTGGACAAAATAGACTCATATTGTAGATGAAGAAAATGAAAATATGATTGCTATAATAAATTAGCTTTAAATCTGTTGATCAGTTAGAACATGTAGGTTATTTGTCTTTACAGATAGAATGGGGTGCTTGCTACCTGACATTAGCGGGTAATATTGTTGTGTATTCAACTCTAGTCGGATTTTTCATAACTTTCGATCAGGATGATACTGATTACAACATGTGGTGAAGTACTACTGCAATGTACTTATTCATCATGATAAAAGTGTAAGTAGTGTATGAACTGATTTATCTTGGAAATAGTAAAAATTAATGCTTTGATATTAATTATTATTGATGAGATAAAATTATTTTATTTTAAGACCTCATTTATAGTTTATTTTCAAAATATAGAACACAAGACAGGCATTCATTAGAAACATGCCATTTTTGTAATATATATAAACACATGAAATTGTTTCAGGTTTTCTATGAGATTAGAAGGAAAAAAATATCAATCATACAGTGCACTGACTGAAAGCTACATGTTGATTCTAAATTATGAAACTTATTGTACACAGTTTATATAATATAAACCCTAATATGGATACTCTACTATACTTGATGCTACAAAAGAAAATAGTATTATAGTGCACTAACAATAGAATGTGTTAATGAAGATACACCACATTGGATTCCACGCGTGTTACGGAGTAGCGAAAAAAAAAATGCATTTGATGTCTTAGATTTTTCGTATGGGACTATTCAGGATAACCTGAAGCGCAACAATGCAAGGATAATGTTGAAAATATTTTTTATTTAATCTAAGTCTTTCGTAATAATAATGGTAATAAAGCTACGATTTATTACTTTAATCTTATTTCTTCAATCCTTGAAAAAACCGGTCAAGAATGTTCTCGAGATCATATTAAAATAAAATAACTTGAAAATCATTCTCTCATGCGCATTCCTCATGTATAATTGTGATTGTTACAGTTTCAATAAGAACAGAAAACAGTGCGATTGTTATTATGTAATTTCTTGATTTGTGTGTGTGAATAGATTTTTAAGCTGCAGTATTTTACATTTTAATGACGAGAGAAATTTGAAAAAAATCATGCTTATTTTTTTATTTGATGTGAATCAAATACAAATTTTTCATGTATTTTTAAGTAATTTAAACAGTCGCCATTATGAGGTTCAAGATGATTTCCGGTTACTGTTGCATTAACCGGAAATCATAATTTCTTCAACATGGCGCTCGTTTAAGTGAAACCCGATATTGGCTGTATTCAGATTCTAATCCGAGTGTCACCTAGGTATCATTTTATCCTTGTTACTCACCGAAAGTTAAAGAAGGACAACACGATACCTGGGAAACACGTGAAATTTGAATGCGCCTATTGACGTCCGATTTCTTAGCGCATTACTTTCGAATGATACAGATTCGAGCGGTTAGGTAAGTCATTGATATTTTCTTAATCACGATACTTCAAATTTCTTTCGAAAAGATTTTCTCGCATCTTAATTTTTCCTCCTGGAAGTAACTCTGCCGTTGCAAATTAGCATGACGTGTCTAAAAATCACGACTGCCAGCAGAAATCCGATCGCACGAAATCCGATAATGCATGTCGCAACTGTCGTAAGGCGCGAAAAGATTCGAACGTATATCGCTGTATAGGAACGAAAATTGATTGAATGCTACCTCGGACAGATTTGAGAGAGAAAATTCAGTGTAATCTGTTGAAAAAAGATCCAGTTTAATCTGTTTGCCCATCTGGAAGGTATATTTTTAACAATAGAACTGAATTTCCAAGATTAATGTGCGAATTTCATCATTTTAATAAGAATTAGGTTAGAAATGGTTAAGGCATTTATTTGTGAAATTATTGTAGTTTTAACGCTATTTTCAAAAGAATTTTGCCGAAAATAATTGTGAGTTTAAGTTTAAAGTAATTACGAGGGTGAATAAGTCGCAGATCCAATTGCATAAGTAATATTGGAATTTCATGTGTAATTGGAATGCCATTGATTAAAAGAGTATCAAATAATTAAATCACATGATCGAATAATTCATTGTTCTATAATTATGTAAATATATATTATTTTATATATAATATTTGGAATTGAGTTTTATGGTATAATATGATTATATTTTATAGTAATTAAGTTTTAAGGATATACTATAAATGTCAGAAGAATTAAACATTGTTATCATGAAAATTTCCTTTCCACTTTAGGCCAATATGTTTTATCTAATCGCATATCTACACCAAATCATTTTCGAAAGATTGTAATGTAAAGATATATATATATAGTTAATATTTATCGTTTTTACTTGTGTGGATGAAATGATTGCTAGTCAATGACTGTTTTTTTAATAAAGGAATATTTTGATAAAAGGTGAGTTTATAGTTTAGAAATGATATTTTCGATTGTATACCAATAAGCACTGTAAGCATTTGTAAAATTACTTTCTTTTAGGACATAATTTAGAATTAAATATCAATTGATTTTATCAGAATGCTTTCTGAAATTCAAGAAGCAGAAGTTTGTGAATCTTTTGATCAATCTATTCAAATGGAACAGCTACTGCCAATGGAATTAAGGAGTAAGTGTAGCTTTTGAATGTCTGATGATTTAAAATCTTTATAAAATTTCTATGTTTATATAAAATAAAACGTATTTCTAGGAAAACGTGAAAGGATGCCAGATAATCTAGACTCTATTATTCCATATGCTACTTTGAGAATGCCCAATTCTGCTCATTTATCTAATGAAGAATGTGCTAATGTTATTGCCAGTCACCTACAATCAAGCAAGAAGTTTATGCATGATGATCCCAAGTTGGAACAATTTAGAATGGAAACAGTGAGAACAATACCACAGTGCCTTGCTGTGAAACAATTTGTTAAGTCACAACTACTGGAAACTGTTAACCAAAAGACAACAAAGAGATCAATTAGTTGTTGGAAATTGTTTAAATATAATGTTAGTTTAAAATTTGCAAAGGTAATGTTAATTTTTGTTGGAGCTCTTATCTTTATATTAAAGAAATGAAAAAATTTGGATTTTGTTTATATAGATTTGGGTAACAATGCAGAACTTCTTTTCAACAATGAAATTATGGCATCGAACAATAAAAACCATTGAGAGTCACCATGGAAGTGGTATAGCAACATACTTCAAATTCTTGAGATGGTTACTCTTCCTTAATACAATTTCCTGTATTTTGAGGTAAATATATTTTATTTTTATTTTTTTGTAAAGTTTTATATTTATAATAAGTGCATTTTGATATATATAAAAATTTGAACCAATTTAAAGTTATTTAAAATTAAGAGAGTTTTAAAAATATTCATAATTCTCATTTATTTGGTAGGCAAACACAAAGTGCTTTATATATATATGTATATATATGTATATATATATATATATTACTATATTAAATTAAGTAATCAAAACGAGATTTTGATGAATATTTTATATTTGCAGTGTATCTTTTATTGTGATTCCGCAATCACTGGATCAAGTATATGTATCAAACTTTACATCAAACAATATTAAAGTACTGGATTTTTTAACAGGCAGTGTAAATCTAATCATTATTTTATTATGAGCAGCATGTTCTAAATAATATAGCGCACATATCACAATATTTTGCTTTGCAGGGCTTTTTGTCTCACACAATAATGTATTATGGTTTTTATTCCAACGGCACAGTAGATGTATCATTTGGAACCAAATATAGCATTCCATTTGCCTATTTCCTAACGCTGCTTTTTTGTTATGTAGTTACATTTGTTATACTCTCTCTCAAGTATGTGTGATAAAATTAATAAGATTAAATTATTCAATTTGTAATTTTATTGAATGTAATAATAATTTTTTTCAGAGTCATATCCTCTTATAGAAAGTCTTATGTCGAAACACGCGGAAAAGTACACAATTTATATAGCAGCAAAATATTTTGTGGATGGGACTTCAGTATATCTTCACCAAAAACTGCTGTTTTGCAATCAGCATCAATTTATAAAGAACTAGAAGAACTATTAGCAGAAACGAAGCAGCATATGCGTTTGCATTGGTGTACTAAATTTTTATTAATTATAATACAATTTGCTGTGACATCTATTGTTATATTTATGATTTTCGGTGCTGGTGCACTTGTTTGGATGTTGTTAAGTCGTTACAACATCATAGAAGCGCCTGTAACTATCTCGATTATGATTGTGCCAATAGTCATTACTGCCATCATTCATATTTTTCCAGCGATTATCTCCTACCTAGTAAGTAACCTGTATTTTCTGTTGTAAAAATAATTGATTATAATATTAATATTTTTAGGCATCGCTAGAACGCTACAATAACAAACGTACGGAACTTTACGTAACAATTGTCAGAAATTATGCAGTTGCTGCGATAATAATCGGGACTTTATTCGTCTTCTGGATAATCCACAGTGCGTCACATTGTTGGCAAACACACTTAGGAGAAGAGATTTATCGGCTTATTGTACTGGATTTCATTGCTTTGCTATTTGGGGTATTTTTACATTTTACACGTTCTGTGCTGTACAAAAGATATTCAACAAAAGTCGGCAGACCGGAATTCGATATCGCTCGCAGTACATTAAATCTCATTTATAATCAGATGCTCTTTTGGATGGGATTTTATTTTAGTCCGTTAATATCTATTATGATCATGATAAAACTAATTTTTACGTTTTACATGAAGAGATATGAGCTGAAAAGATACTACCAGAGACCGTCGCAGCCTTGGCGAGCGGCACAAACGCAAACATTGTTCTTGGCTCTCACATTTCTCAGTATTATTGTAATATTATTCACGATAGGATATGTTATCACAAATGTGGAAAGTAATAAATGTGGACCATTCAGAAATCATCGTCATACTTGGAATTTTATTGTCGATGGGATGTTTTCATTGAAAAAAGACAGTACATTTTGGAAGATTATTTCGGAACTTGCGTCACCAGTAACCGGTGCTGTAATATTGATCGGCATGAGGTAGATTATAATTATGAATCTAAATATAATGTATTTATATTAGATATTTATTAACCAAGTATTTTTATTAAAAGTATTGCAGTGTATTGTTTAAGAGCAAAAGCAGAAGCGAGTAAGGAAATATCACAAATTTTTTCCAACATGCTCCTACTCCAATCTCAAGATAAGCAATTTCTCATAAATAGTTTTGGTAAATGTGCTAAAAATAAACGTAAGTCACGTCTACTATTAAATTATAGATATCTCTATGCAATTATTGTTAACAATTTATGTATATTTTTCTTTTTCAGGTGCCTTTGTTCCTAATGAAATTAATTTTGACCAAGATATTAGGCATGCTGAGCAAGATCGTACAAATGAAGAAGTTTTACTTCATCGACATAACTTACCATCGACAAGTTTCGAAAAAAGATGATTAATATAAACTAGTTGACAATTTGGTTAGGTTACAAACTGCCAGAGCATGTATTAGTTGATTAATTTTTTTACAGTTTTATTTATACATTTAAATTAAGTTTTTAAAAATATTACTTCCATTGCGCGCGATTTTGCCAAAACCTCAAGACTATATGACTTATATATGATGAAATATTCCAGATAACATTACGTCCAAAATGCAGACATAAGACGTCTTCCACACATCTTACGTCCATATTTTGGATGTAATGTTTGAATTATTTTATCAAATATAACATTCTTGAGCGTTCAGGTTTTAGCAAAATCGTGTGCGCGACAGAAGCAATACTTTTTTAACCCTTAACCGGGCGCGCCGCGGCACTGAATGCCGCAAAATTGGTTTTTCTGAAAAATCATTGATAATGCAGGTCTTTTTTTACCGATTTTCGGTATTCCTCATTTAACGTTAAATTTTAATATTATATTTTATTATAATCCAATTATTTATCAAATTATTATAATAGGCCTTCTACAATAAGCTGCAAGTTAGAACGTCAGAAGTCTTAATCAATCTTAACCAGGTCGTTCAAGTTGGCTATTGGCCAACTTCACCGATTATGACTTAAGATCGTTTAGAACTTCTGATTTGAGGCTTATTGTAGAAGGGCTATAACTCTTAAATAATAAATTTGTGATGTGGCATTCAATGCCACGCGCGCCCACTAATGTTTGGCCGGAAGGCGCGCCTGGTTAAGGATTAAACTAAATTTAATTTGGTTTAAAGTATTTCGCCATTGTTTATTTAATATAAGAAATGTTATATTAGAAATAATTATTTTAATATAATATTTGATACAATATATACAAGTAATAATCATTTATTTAATTATATATTTACAGAAAATGTATACATAAACTATTTCTTTATTTTAGTATACAAAATGTTGGTATACGCTCTTGAGATACTAAATACTTAGCATAAATGAATGAATGGTATGACTTGACTTTAGCTGCACATGCGTCTGTCTTGTTGCTACGTTACGATTATTATTCTGTTGTCAGCTTTTTCGTTATTGTGTTCATCTTATATACTTCTAATAAAGATCTATTGGCTATTAATTGTGTTTGTTAAAACTCTCTGCTTATAAATAATCAAACTAACATTGGTTATGGGCCCAGGATTCGCGATAGTGAATTGGTTTTATTGAGAAACGAAAAGAAAAGTTCACTTCCTAGTTCACAACTTCGAAAGCGAAGATCAATGTGAG